CTCACAGTCACACAGATTGGGTTCTTACGTTACAGCTGGACGGAGCAGAACAGAACACATGCATTTTTCAAAGTTGCAATATTTTTAACTTGACACAGTGTCTTAAAACATGGCACTCGTGGTGCAAGATGCTGAAAAAACAGTGTGATATGACAAAACAGCTGTCCGTCTGGATGTTAATATATATATATATATATATATATATATATATATATATATATATATATATATATATAAATATTGATAATATTTAAGTAAAAAAAAAATTTGAATTTAGTTTTCAGCCATTTTGACAGCCCTACTCTGTAGTGCCTCAGTTCAACAGACACGGCAGCGCATAGCACACGTGAACTGATCATCTCCTCCACATTAATACCAGTTTCAGCACAAAATAATCATGACTAAACATTCGAAGGTAAGTTAAAAGAAAGAGTACAACTTTACAATCCGTATTCTGTCTCATGTAATCGCTCAATCAGTGTTTCAGCTGCACAAAGACGTCAATATAATGGCTTGTAAATGTCATGTAACGTCACATTTACCACAAAAAACATATTCGGTGACCATAAACTCATTAATCATATAGAAAAATAAACTGTAGAGAGGGGCATTTTGCTAAATATATGCACCATATAACATATTCATTATAATTTTTACTGTTCTTCAATGTTTAATTTATGTTTGGATAATTCCATCAAGTTTTTATGACAGCCACCATTTAAATGTTTATATATTTTTTTAAAACGAATTGAAGTAGAAATATTATTATGTAATTGTAACTTTATTATTTTAATAACTTCATTAAGAGTAATTTTAGCAGTTGTACTACAAATCAGTCAATTTTAACCTTCAATATTATAGTAATGTACCAACTGACTCTCATGTATATTTTACAGCATTAGTTGAGAGATTTAGTTTTTCCTTGAGAAAATTTGGCATGTACTGTACCTGATATGTATCCAAAATAATCAATAACGAATCGAATCGCAAGCTTGTGAATGAGAATCGAATCGAATTGTGAAATTTGTGTCAAAACCCAGCCCTAACAAATTCATGATTTGCTGTAGTTGGGAAGAAGTTTGGATGTAACAACGGCTAAATTGGAAGCTTTTGCTATGATGTGAAATTGATATGAAATTTTGATTCCATTAACCCGTACATACAGAGAGCAGATGGAGTAGCTCACAGTCACACAGATTGGGTTCTTACGTTACAGCTGGACGGAGCAGAACAGAACACATGCATTTTTCAAAGTTGCAATATTTTTAACTTGACACAGTGTCTTAAAACATGGCACTCGTGGTGCAAGATGCTGAAAAAACAGTGTGATATGACAAAACAGCTGTCCGTCTGGATGTTAATATATATATATATATATATATATATATATATATATATACACATTTTTGTTTACATATCACAGACAAAAACAATAACACGTCTTGTATAAACAGACCCTAAGTTTACCTTGACGAACTCTGTTACAAAATGAGGACTGTAGGTGATTTTAATTTAATTATACTTAAACAAAAATATATTTATATTGTATTATATTACAAACATATATTCATGCATAAAATGTACATGCATCTATTCAAAAATTAAAATGGAATTTGAATTAGTCTTCACTTGGTGGATTTTTTCAGCAAATATTGATAAATGCCACAATTTATGTTAATCCTACTTATTAATTATATTAGTAATTAATTATTGATTAAATTAACTATATACATATACTGTATGTGTCACAATTCTAATGTGTTATGTAAATGCATTTATTATGCAGCTACTTAAATAAATAAATGGACATGAAATATTGATTTGAGTTTAAATAATTTCATTATGTGAGACTGCAAAGAAATACGACACATGAAACTAGCACATTTGTGTAGGAAATTGGTTGGATGGGTCAATTAGGCCTACTGTAAACAGTTTAGCGGTTATTATCAAAAAAAAAAAAAAAAAGATTAATGCATCAAATAATCCTAAAAGTATTCCACCATGTGGATATTCTGTTTATCACTATTTATCTGCCATGACAGTGTCACGCTGGTCATGTTTATGCCACACATTACCCCTACAAAAAAAAGAAAAAGAAAAAAGGTATGCTTTTTCTTTAAGCTTGTGTAAGCACGAGACTCTTTGCTAGAGATGAGAAACATTTCTGTAAAAATGACATTAAGTACTAACAGAGGGAGCATCAGAACACGCAAGAAAACATCTGGATGACACCTGTAAACAGCACATGACCTGAGAGTAGGCGTGCTCTGATCAGGATTTTTGAGGCTGATCACAGAAAGCAGTATCTGCCGATACCGATCACCGATACCAATCTTTTTAAAGCCTTCTTTTTATCATTTATAACTATTTATAGTGATACTCCAATCAGGATTTTTAGACATTTATTCAGGGCCTGAATTTCATTTTTGAAAATGGGGAGAATTCCCCTCTTAGTTGACTCTTGTGAGAGGGGAAGCAGCACGGACTGTGCTTTCACACAAGAGTCCACTACTGATGTTTACCACAAACACAACATTTATCCATTATTTTGATGTCAAATCCAAACATTGTCACTGAAAATGCTTTTTCAGCATTGCAATTCTTATTTTTACACAGTACAGTAATACAATCTTTCACAGACATGTTTAAACACAATAAATATAAGCAACACATTATTCAATGCTTTTTATTTTTGCATTTACTTCTAGATTTATATATTAAGTTTCTCAAGCAAGTGGCAAAACGTTTAAACTACTTTTCTTACGTTATCACAAAAATACCATTGACAGAAATAGTCAGCTCTACTGCCTTTTCTTTTGCATTTAAATCTTTATTACAAGAAATCCTGCGGTTCATAAAGAACTTTGTTTTCCTTCCTCCACAAGTGCCATCTATTATTGCCTTGTTTATCTAAAAGTGCTCTTTTCCTTTAAAACTAACCAAAAAGCCATATATGTAGACTTTAATAATATGCATTTATGGTGTAACTACTACATTTTCGTGTCAATCCATGTTCATACTTACTGCAAACAATGCGCTGTTACTTTAATTCAGCGCTTGCAGTGCAGCAATAGACACGACCTCTGCACTGCTGCAGACGCACCGCTCCTGAACGCACTGTTGGACCGCACGCAACCTTGTGCAGTGAACGCTTTAATCCGTTAACATGAGCGCGGGAAAAATACACACTGCAAACAGAGTAATGTGAACCTGGCATTATGTGTGTGCGCTGTGAGTGCGAGTGTGCATGAGCGCACGGTCTCCAGGAGAGTGTGCGAGCGCTGAATGGTTAAACACTGGCTAGAATAAAAAAGAAATGCAATTTATAAACTTTAGTGACGATGTGACACTGCCTCGATTGTGCAAGTGACAATTCCTGTGTCAACTGTGCAGCGTGCAGCTCGCTTATAGATAGACGCGATGTGGTGATTTGAAGACATTTGCGTATTTTGATAGAGAAAGAGAGAGCGCGTGCGCCGATTCACTCACGTTGTTTGTGAAATGACGTCTCACACAAGGTTTTCAAATTACTTTAAGTTATTTATTGAAGAAATATGAAGGTGAGTACACCTCACCTTCAGCATTATAATTATTTCACCCGCGCCAGACTGAGACGGTGCCGCTGCATGTCGTGCCAAACCTCTCACGGCAGCGTCATCAGCTTGAGATCGTTTTTTTGAGATCTGCCTTTTAGAGCCCACCGATCAATCATCCCAATGTGATTATCGGCCGATAGTGATCGGTAGCCAATCAATCGGAGCACCCTACCTGAGAGTATATCCACACTGCAGGAGACAAGGAAAGGGGTCTAATGTGTCAAAGAGACCGTTAGATGATTGAGTTATAAAGACAGTGCATCTTCATAAACCAGCTGTTTCAAGTGTCATCCTCCTCTCTCTTTTTCTCCACTGTACAATACATGCTCCGAGGATATTGAAACATGTGACGCATATATCCTAATACTTTTCTGATTGCTTACAAAGTTTGGGAGCATTAAGTCTTGAGTAAATACAATTATTTGGGAGGTACTGGGATGTTTAGCAAAAGTAAAAGATCAGAAAGACAGAATGTTTTCGTTCATGTCATGCTAATTTCACGCACTTGGAAATCCATGTGAAAACCAACATGTCAACCTACACAGTGATGAACAGATTTAGAGAAAGATAGTCACAAAGAAGCCAAAAACCAACCCTGCACATCAGACAACAACTTCACAGCTAAGTTAAATCATGTTTGATCAGTGTGGTTATGAACACAGGCACGCTGAAGAGATCATTTTCAGACAATCTGGATACTTCGAACCTTTCATCCCAAATCTGCCTCTAATTTCAGTCAAACTGAAGCAATGGGAGACTAACAGGTCAATCCTCATCATTTTTCTGCTCTGCCCACCACAGAAATAAGCTCTCAAAGACGTGCCCTAGATTTGAACAACCCCACTGTCTGATGAAAGATTTGAACTGCGTATGATGTTCTGAACATGTAATCAAGTATCAGAACATTTAGGATTATGCAATATGTATCATGTACATTCTAATTTGGAAAGGACAAGTCTAGAGTACCTGATATCTTCTTACTTCACTAAATGATCAACATGAAACGTTCACGGAAGATTAATAGAGGCCTCCCACACAGAATTCACATTTCAAAGAGACCACACGAATACTGCAAGCCTGCAGACTGGCTGCAGTATGCATTCAAGATGATGATTATATGAAATCTTGAAATACTGTAAAATAATTATTGTTGTAAAAGAAATTTAATTTAAGTCAAATTTAAATATGTTTACATCCAGAATATTTCCAATTCAGCAAAACATTTAGGTAAAATATGCCTATTTTAAAGCCACTTTGGATAAAAGCATGTGATAAATTAAATAAATGTAAATGAAAAAATTGTGAATTTTATAAAAATGTATTTAATTAATGATAAATATGATTTCCTTTACAAAGTGCAAATGTGTGCTGTTGGTCAGTTTACTTTGTCAAATTGTTTCTCACCTGCGTGGTCCTGCAACACACATATCTGTCAGTGTCATCCAAAGTCACCGAACCTGTGAACAACAAATCATAGCCTATGAGCAATCACTAAAACTCAATGAAAAGCACAAACACTTTAATTCATTTTATCAACTGTCCATAAGCTCATATGCGCTGTGCATATGAATCTAAAACTGTCGTGAACAGCGCAGCATTTTCAAGGGTCACGACCCGGCTCAGTTGAGCCTGGAATGTAAAACCGAACCAGAGGAAGCAGAAAAGAACCCTGCAGGGGATTGTTTCATTTGCTCGCAGGATTCGTTAAGTCATTTTTGACTCAGGATCTCAGCTCACTGTAAGCCCAAAAAATAGATGTTTTCTTGGCAGGAGCAAAAAAACCTAAGTTCAGCCAAAACAGACAATACAGCAGTATAAGGAGCTAAAACACATGCCAGATTGCAGAAGGGCGATTCAGAGCGGAGGCCCTGGCTTTCTCCCCCTCTCTAGAACGATCCACAGTGGAAAGAAAAGCCTTCTCCCTGTCCTCAAATGAACTCAAACATGAGCTTCCTGTTAGACCCTGGGAGGAAACACCCAGCACAGCAACCTCACACTAACAGAGGAAGGCCTTCACTGCCGAATTCTTTTCTGCCTGCGAAATTAGGTCAAGCACTTAAGAGCTCCTCGCTCATACCCACAAGTTCCCTCTCTAAAGCGAACGTGCACACACGCCAACATACATAAGTCACACGCATGACCTCAGTTCTCCCATGCACATGTGCTCACAAAATGTGTCACCTGACGTCTCTCTGCATTACAGGTAAAACACAACCCCATGACTGCAGAATGTCTGTCAATCTGACTGTCCTCTGCTGCACTCGGAATCTGAGCAGCTTAGGCACGTCCCCCTGCGCTCTATAATGTCCCAACTCCTGTCGGACACGCATTCCTCTAACGGCTCTTCCTCACATCTGTGCAACCTTTTAGTGCCAGCTTCAGACAAGCTACAGGTTAAAAGCTCAGGACACGCCCCTGACCTCAGCTGACATTACAGGCCACTCAAATCATCCGGCCGCTTGTATCTGAGAGCCACACAAAAGCGAGGATTGATTGTGTGAATGTGTCAGGTTAGACGAGGCGCCTCCCCTCCCTGTGGTGATTGCATTTTAAATTTCAAATGATGGATGTTTTTTCAAAGGGTTAACTGAGGTAAACTGGCTTGGATGCGGGCCAGTGACGAGACAGATGAATTTATGACTCTGTCGGCGCAAAGAGCGAGTAGGATTGTTCGCCTCTTTGTAATCTTGAAGGGCTTGGTTGGCTTTGCTCAATTATCTGGCGATTTTCAAAGTGTTTTAGCAAAAGATGGTGGTAACGAGCCGTCGTCATTATCAAATCGTTTCGAAAGGCCAAGCGAAACACTCCGATTACAGTACTGAGTCCAGGTCATGTTGACACATTACACGTTTGGCCTTCTGTCTCTGCTGACATGCAGCAAGAGAAAAAGGGGAGAGCACACTGAAAAACTTGAGGCTGAGCACAAAAGCAGAGGAGCGATGGAGAAAAAAACGGCTGAGAGAAAAATAATATGACAATACCATACGCCAAATTTCTGTCATCTGTTGCAAAGTGTTTGGGGAGACATTCCTGTGGGATTGACAGTTTGGCGTGGCTGTAGCACCAGGGGCTAGTCATGGAAAGACACTTCCAGTGTGCACACACACTTTACAAACTCAGCAAGACCTACGGAATGCGATCTGGCCTCGGTCGTGCGCTCTCAGCATCGGCCTGGCCTGAGCCTTCCTGCCTTGGGTTACGTAGCTCTGTGTACGACGGCGGTTTGGTTATTTCCCCAACAGGAGATGTACATGAAAATATATTTTTGGCAAGATAACTCCAGTGCTGAGTGACAACATTAAGACAACTGGAAACAGATTGCTGAAATGACTGATGACCTTTTTCTTTTCTTTCCAGTTGTTTTTGAAGTGCTGACATCCTCTGCATTCTCAATGTCTCCTTCTCTCTCAGAAGGTATATGGCTAGAAAAGTGATTGTGGAAAAAATAAAAATATACAGTCCTTTCAAAATAATGAATGTGAGCGTTGGGTCACATTAAGAGGCACGCATATGTAAAACTTCTGACTGAGGTTTTATGTAAAACCTCAGAAATACCTAAAACTAGTTTTAGAGGCTATTTCTATTTATTCAAAATGAAAACAAGCAACGATAAGGACAACTAAAGCACATCTGAATTTCTCTAATGCACTTGGTCTGCCAAAATTACCACTGACAACTAATTCAAAACACATTTTACAAATGGAGGAATTAATCTGGCGGTTATAAAATTGTGCTTTCAAAATATATTTAAAGTTGTTTATGTTCCTATTGAGTAAAAAAAAAAGTTTGTGCTTATTTCAGTTTAGCAACTGATTCACAGAAGGAAATTAGAGCATAAGCAGGCCATTTTAACCTGGGTTAGTAATCGCATAGTCAGCATAACAAATCTCAAAGGATGTTATTTAACATGTTATAGCATGTGTGTGTAACACACAGAGCGGTCAACAACCAGAAGTAAAGCCTCACAGACACATAATGAGATGCACAAATCAATGCACTTTCAAATCTAATAATAATACATTACAAAACACATATGCACAATAAAGCATTATGTGTGCATATGTGTGTTTACATTATCAAATAGGCTTCATCATTCGACATCTCTCTGATGTACTTACACAAAACAGTACACAGATATCAATATTCTCACTTTCGGCATATAACAGCAGATTATTATCACATTAAATAATTTTTGTTTACTCTGAAAAAAATGAAAATCTAGATAAAATCATACCAGATAAAAGGTGGACGTATGTTCCATCTCTGGGTTGAGTCCGAAAGAGATTTTCGCCATTTCAAGCCCCACTGCAACACACAGACACACACACAGTCTAACGTTTCAGAATAAGCTTTATTCTCACTGGCTGTAAAAAAAATAAATAAATAAATAAATAAAAACGTCTACAACAATAGCAATATGCATTTAGAGAAATAAAACCTTGTAAAATAGCTTGCATGTATTTCAATAACTGCATTATCATCAACTCTAAAAGGGGCATATTGTCCGAGGACCAAGTTTATGCCTGATACAAGTCAAGGAAGCCAACTAAAATATTAGGGCATGAATTTTCAGTACAAAAGGGGTCACAGAATATTTTATTTTATTAATAATAATATCAGTTGAGATTCATTTATTAATTTCACTATGTTGCATGACACACTGTCAACAAACTCAGCCCAGTTTGATAAAGATTGGATGAAATAGGTCTGTAAAAAATACGTAAATCTGGCAGGAATATTTTAGAGAGCAACCCCATTTATGGAATTTACACGTTAGATTTATTTTTCTTTTAAATGAGCAGACCAGAGCAGTCTCATGGTGCCTTCAATAACAGAGAAGAATCTACACAAACCCAAATAAGAGAGCAGCACGATCGATTAGGCTATTTGAAAAGCATGAACAAAAACGTCTGCCCATGAGAGACTGACCTCTTTTCTATCTCTAATGTGTCTATAACTCCATTATTCTCCTCGACATGCACTAATAAAATGAGCTATTCCTCGTTTAATTCATTCGAGTGCGTGCTCGACAGATATTTTACATTTGATGCCAGGAAAATAAGCTGTGAAAACTAGGCTACAGTTCAATAATGCACCATATGCCGGCTTCGTGTGATTGGCGCAAGCGTAACCGCGAAATAAAAATAATAAAGCAAAAAAAAAAAAACACAGAAGGGACCAACTAAAACACGATAACGGAAAACTTACATTATTTACGTTTCATCCGCTTCGTAGCTTCATCTGGATCATTCGTGCTCCTTTAGCTGTCGTTAGAAACGGCCAACGGCAAAACAAACAAACAAAAGAAACTTGACGGGAGTCGTTGGGTAAGTTAAACCACGACGACCGTTTTTATTATTCAAGTTCAGGCTGAAATTTTCTGTCTTACGGACACTTTAACGAGGTTAACACGCGACCGTTAATACAGTCTGTCTGCGAGCAAACTATCAAAACCTTCTCATCTAAGTTACACAAAAAACATGACGACACACTGCGTCTTTTAAGGGTAACGTTAGTTTGGTTGTTTGTAATGATCAAGAAGAGATGTTCATCCTCCCAACAGCCACCGGACCGGACCAACAGCCTCACGCTACCGTGAACTAGATCACACAAGTTCAACTAAGGTGAACTATGATTCATTCACACACACACACACACACACACACACACGAGAGCGCGCGCACCGACCGTTACACAAGAGCCAGACAGCAGCCGCTGACCTATCTAATATCAGCACAAAATAACACACGGTTTACTCTTATTCACATTGGATATATAAGGGTGGTGGCTGTGGGCTTTTTTTTAATTCACGGGCCCGTCGTGCTCGACCCGTTCTGCAGATGAACAGCTCGACGAGTCCGTTTTCAAACCGACGACAAATCTGAGGTAAACAAGCTTCGACTTGAGAAGTTTGTTATGGTTGTTCTCAGAAAAAGAAACGTCGCAGTTAAATAAAAGTAACGTTAAAGTAAATAAAAACGTGGTTTGATAGCATCCTTGATGTTTAATATTATTCTTTTTTCTTACAAGGACGAGGGTGTTAGGAATTATATTTGCTCATTTGCTGATCCCTGAAAATGAATAAGACATACTAACGTTACCTGTTGCATTCTCGATTTATGTAGTATTAATAAAATATTTTAAATACCATTTAGTATAAATGTCTACTTGTGAAATATTCAAAGGCGTTTAAACAGTTTTTCATAAATATTTGTAAATGAGATGTCCGGGGTCTTGTAATCCGTCGTTTAACCCATTTAATCCCAACATGTTCCCATCTGAGTGAGCACAAGTATTTTACTTATTGGATAGTACAATGAAATAAACGGAATGCCTTTTCTAAAAGAAAAATATAAATGAATAAATAAAGAGAGAAAAAGTAAACCGCTAGTATATCCCTGGTTATAAGTGTAAACAGTTGCTCAAAGAGACCCAACAGAATGTTACAAAAATAAAGAAACATCTTCTTCTTTTTTTTACTGTCAGGCACTGTGGTAATATTAATGAGATTTTTTTTTTTTTGCTTTTACTTTGTTTCATTTAAAGTGATAATACTTAAAAATACAGTCTAGGATTGTATAATAATGTGAATCAGCCAGTTACTTATTAAAAATGTGACCACTGATATGTTTACATGTTTATCATTATGATTTATAGGAGACATTTATATGAGAATAATAGACCCTTTAAATATTATATGTATCAATTATGGTAGCTGAATCTGTATTACGACATTTTTATAGAGCCTCTACATCATCTTTCAGAAGGGCAAACTGGCATTAAAGCTTCCATCATGTTTCTACACGAACAATATTAAAATACACTTTCATTCATAGTTAAAAAAAAACTTTTTTGTCACAAGCAGCATTAAATGGGTTAAGTGAGAAGGACTTTAGGCTATCATGTGATATGATGTTAAACCTGTGTGTGTGTGCTATCAAAGGCATTTTGAAGGGGATTTTCATCAGGTTTTGGCTAGCAATGTGTGATGTGAGTCATGCATTAATTAATTAATTCATTATTTAAGGATGTTTTCACATACTAAATTGCAACATGAATATTAAGAATTTGTGTCTGGATGTTCAGTATAATCACAGAACTTGTTAAATGTTTTAACAAAAAAAACTTACAATACTGTAAACTCTGTTAAAGAAATAACTATTTAGAACAAAATCCAATCAAAACTATAATTTACCCCTATTAATGGCTCTCAGAGAGCATTAGTGTGATTTTTTTCCAGTCAAGTCTGCTGAATTTGTGGTTCATAGTCAGGAATAACAGTCTCACAAATGCATTTCTAAAAGCAATACCTACTCATAAGAAAATATTTTACAAAGCCACTTAAAACAGGCAGAGTATGGTTTTATCTGTCAGGTACAGACAGAAGTTTTGTTTGCAAACAAGGCAATATTTCTCCAATACAAAGTGCAGAAAATAAAATAAAATATAAAATAATATCTAAAAACCTCACTCAGCCAGAAAATGTTATTAAAGAAGAAAAGAAAATCAAGTAAAAGCTTTGCTCACACCCTCATTTAGTTATTATCCTTTTTTAAGGAAATGTAGGCAAAAAAAGGATAGGGCTGACATAACTATAACTTCAGTGCATCTTTTTATAATTTAAGTAAAATATTAATTCTGATACAGGATGGTGTTGACAGATATGTTGGCTAAAGATATTTTCCCCCTCTGGGCTCAAAAATAAGATATAAATACTGAAGTCATTGCTTCACTCTCTGCCAGTGGTTAAAGTAGAAGTAGAGGAACACACTCGATGAACCCAGGTTCATCCATACACACACAGCTAATCAGATTAAAGGGCCAAACTGTGTCCTATGTGTGAACGCGCGTGTGTTTATGTCCTACACAAAGCGGCCTCATGGGAATTAACATGAGATGGTGGCAAGCAGATTATAACGAAAGGGTTGTTGAGTTCGCATGGCATCACATGTTCGCATGAAACTTATTCTTGTCTCCAGCATTACATGCCTCTCATATTAAATGAATACCTATATGCAAGGGAAAAGGGTAGATATTAATGCCAGCAAGTGCTCCAACTTTGTAAACCAGAAAGTCAAGGAGAGATTTGATTTTATGACATTTAATACACACAATTTTTAGGGCTCTGTGCCGGTTAGAAATTGCTTCCTAAGGCAGCTGATTACCTTGAAAACAGTTGGCCGGAATGCTTTTAGATCAAACAATTCAAAATGATTACACTTGCTTAAGATAAAGACGGTGAAATCTCACGCCAAATAGAGTCATCATGTAACGATCGATCGTCTGATGCATGTCAATCACAGTGAAACGCATCGAGAGGCCCACTCGATGTAGAGACGTCGCTCCTGCAGTGCACCGGCTGCACCTTTTGTCTTTCAGCTAATCACAAATTCAGACCCGGCATCACTTGCATACTAAACAACCCCAAATCCTTCGGTCATACACAAGTCAGAGAAGCCTGCTGCTAATTATTTTTTGTGCCCCTGACTGAAATGTGGCACTATTCAATAGAACTAAAGGGCGTAATGATCTTCAGCAGCGTTTAATGCAGAACTTTCTCCACGCCTCGCACCGCCAGTGTGTGAGTGTGTATGAGTGTACGAAGCATTGAGCCCTGGGCTGTGCTAATTTGCAATCAGACACTCTCTTTGAGTTCTGTCTCTATGCCCCCAGACAGTGTAAATGGCAGCTGAGACAAAGCTCCCATTCTCTCCGTGCAGGCCCTCATAGTTTTATTTCAGGCCAGTGCTCTCAGACAGAGGGCATTCTGGGAAAGCCAAGAGATGGCAGTGGCAAAGAGGGCGGGACGCTAAGAGAGAGAAAGGCACGCTGCAACGGCCCCCTGCCTCCCTCTACGACCGGCATCCATGGGCACGCTGCAGTACCACACCCACAACACTTGCACTCTGCCAGTGTCTCGACGGTACGAGAACAAACATCAATTTCATAGTTCCAGAATTATATCACGATTATTCAAACACTAAATAAGGAGAAAAATTATGTCATTGCCACTGAATTAAACATCTCTCTATCTAGAACTGTCTTTTTATCGTGATTAGTGCAATGATGATGCCATTGCCTTGAATACAAACTCATTCTTTGATTGTTGATAAACTTTTTCTTTTTTGTTATATCTATTTATTTATCTAATGTTCATATCAATCTACTTAGAATTTTTATCCATCTATCTATCTATCCTTCGAAAGGGTCAGTAAGATTTTTTTTTTTTAAATCCCTTAAAAAAAATTTTGGATATCAGTCTGTCTTGTAAGGATATACAGTGGTGTGAAAAAGTGTTGGCCCCCTTCCTGATTTCTTTTTTTTTTTTCATGTTTGTCACACTTTAATGTTTCAGATCATCAAACAAATTTAAATATTAGTCAAAGATAACACAAGTAAACACAACATGCAGTTTTTAAATGAAGGTTTTTATTATTAAGGGAAAACTGGTGTAAAAGTAACACTGCATTTCAGAAAAAGAACATCATGCCAACAGTAAAATATGGTGGTGGTAGTGTGATGGTCTGGGGTTGTTTTGCTGCTTCAGGACCTGGAAGACTTGCTGTGATAAATGGAACTATGAATTTTGCTGTTTACCAAAAAAAAATTCTGCTGTTTACCAAAAAATCCTGAAGGAGAATGTCCGGCCGTCTGTTCGTGACCTCAAGCTGAAGCGAACTTGGGTTCTGCAGCAGGACAATGATCCAAAACACACCAGCAAGTCCACCTCTGAATGGCTGAAGAAAAACAAAATGAAGACTTTGGAGTGGCCTAGTCAAAGTCCTGACCTGAATCCTATTGAGATGCTGTGGCATGACCTTAAAAAGGCGGTTACTGCTCGAAAACCCTCCAATGTGGCTGAATTACTACAATTCTGCATAGATGAGTGGGCCAAAATTCCTCCACAGCGCTGTAACAGACTCATTGCAAGTTATCGCAAACGTTTGATTGCAGTTGTTGCTGCTAAGGGTGGCCCAACCAGTTATTAGGTTTAGGGGGCAAACAATTTTTCACACAGGGCCATGTAGTTTTGGATTTTGTTTTCCCTTAATAATAAAAACCTTCAATTAAAAACTGCATGTTGTGTTCACTTGTGTTATCTTTTACTAATATTTAAATTTGTTTGATGATCTGAAACATTAAAGTGTGACAAACATGCAAAAAAATAAGCAATCAGGAAGGGGGCCAACACTTTTTCACACCACTGTATAGTTATTGTGCAATAATGATGTAATCACCTTGAATACAAAATCTATCTTTCTATGACTGTTACAATTCCATTTTGTCATCTATTTATCTACTGTATTTATGAACTTCGACTTTTTTTGTCTTAAGTTTTTTTAAAGAAATTATTTCTATTTCACAAGGATTCATTAAATTCATTAAATTATTAAAAAGTGACCGTAAACGTGTTTATAATGTTACAAAATATTTCTATTTCAAATAAAATGTTTTTTTCATCAAATAATTCTGAAAAACGTATCTCCGTTTACAAAATATTAAGCAGCACAACATTGACAATAATAAGGAATGTTTCTTGAGCACCAAATCAGCACATTAGATTGATTTCTGAAGGATCGTGTGACACTGAAGACTAGAGTAATTATTCAGAAAATTCAGCTTTGCCATCACAGAAATAATCAACATGTTAATACTAAAAAAGTAACAACATTTCATAATATTACAGTTTTACTGTATCGCTGATCAAATAATTGTGGCCTTGTGGAGCATGAGAGACAAAAACATTACAAAATCTTACCAACCCCAAACTTTTGAATACTAATGTATATACTTTGTAAAAAGGGAGTACTAAATTGTTGCTGAGTCATGGATTTTGGAACAAAAACACATGCCTGGGGTTTCAGTAATGCAGGTCTATTATATGAGATATCTTTACTTTGTTTTCAAGAGCCAAGACAATGCCTATCACAGCCCCGCAACCCGAGGCTACAAGTGAATGATTACCGAGAAGCGAGCCTTGTCCTCAGAAAGGGGTCACAGGCTCGAGGCAACGATAAAACCCAGAGCACACCTATGACTTTATCACAAAACCAGATAACATCCATAACATATTCTCAATGCTGACACCTATTTCTTCACAGTAAATCAAGTGCCCAAAGTGAAAAATGTGACTACTGGCTCCACATGGCCTCTTTGTCTGAGATGAAGTGAAAAACGGTGAGCCCAGTTATGGCCGACAGCTGTGTGTATCACTTTACATTAAGAGTGATTTCTTCTGGTGTTGGTGCTTTGATATGCTGTCGGTTCAGCTCTTAAAACGTATGGAATCCCTTTGGCTCGACAAGCGTTCAAAAGATGTTTCTTTAACAACTACTTATTCTGGACATCAAGCAATATAATCACATGAAACAGTTAAGAATTAGTTCATATTTGCATCATCTTGGTCCGATTCCCAGAAACAGATTAA